AGCTCTATATCGCCATCTTTGGCAAGGAGCTTGGAGCACAAGTTCAACATGGTGATGAAGAGGACGATAGATGGAAAAGACTGGAGGAAGACAGGGAGCGCAAATGGCAAGCACTTCGGAGAGAGCTCAAGCTTGCAGTGAAGCGCATCCATGTCAACCTTGGACATGCCAACATACCCACCATGCTGAGAGCTTTGAGAGTTTCGAAGGCAAGTGAAGCAGCCCTTCGAGCAGTGCGCCTGTTTCGGTGCATGGGTTGCCCTCGCATCCAAAACCCAAAGGAGCCGAGGCCAAGCAAGATGCCCATCACCGATGAGTTCAACGTGCAGATTGGCTTGGACATCATCCATGAAAATGACAGCTCCGGACAGCCTTGGTCCTGGCTGAACATTTTCTGCCAAGGGACGCAGTTTCAAGTTTGCGTGCTTTTGGATAGTGCTGGTCAACCAACTGGTCAGCAGGTGGTGGAGGCTTTTGGTTTGGGATGGACAAACTGGGCTGGTTTTCCTGAGCGTGGCGTGGTGGCAGACAGGGCGAAACCTTTTCTTGCAGCCTTGTCAGATGAGGTTGCAGACCATGGTTGCACTTTTGGCTCAGCAGCCAAAGCTTCCCCATGGCAGATCGGTCAGATCGAAAGGCATGGAGGTTTGTGGAAAGAAACTTTCAGAAGAGTTGTTTGGGCGCATCAAGTTTCCGGACGGCAAGATGTCATCATGACGACAGCCGCTGTGAACCAGGCCAAGAACTCACTGGTTCGAAAAGGTGGTTTCAGCCCCGCTCAATGGGTGCTGGGACGTGACGTCCGTTTGCCAGCCAGTTTGGCTGATGACCAAGAGGTCATGAGAGTTGGTGCCCAAGCCCTTGCAGCTACTCCAAGCAGCCTTTTCTACCGCAAGACTCAGCTCAGAATGGCAGCCAGAGAAGCTTTCTCTCGCAGTGCCACAAGTGAAGCCTTGAGAAGAGCAGAGCTGAGGCAGATCAGACCAAGCCGTGGACCTTTTCTCCCTGGCATGTACGTTTTCTACTACGATGCTCAAGACAGGGAACCAAGTCCAAACTGCTGGAGAGGCATCGCTCGTGTGATCGGGCGAGAAGGCACTTCAACCATTTGGATTTCTCACAGGGGACTACTTCTTGCAGTCAGCCCTGAACACCTCTCGCGAGCCTACGACCCAGAGGTCGAGCACTGGTCGGTTGCCTCCAAAGAGACAGAACTGATGGACGCCGCACCAGCAGCAGGTGGCACGGGGTTTATTGACTTGAGGAGATCCCCGGTGCCCCCGCTGACCGCTCCCGATGGAGAGGCCGAGAGGGAAAGCACAGATGGAGAAAAGAAACCAGAAGCCTTGGAGGATGCCCCAATGCAGCCAGCAGCAGCCGCCAGAGAAGAAGCTGAGGACTTGAGTTCAAGCTCAACCAGCATGGCTCGAATTAGTTTGGAGTCAGACCGTGAACAGAAGAGGTCTTTGAAGTCGGCCGAGTTCTTCGACCGCATGGCCAAGCAGAGACGGGTCAGCAGAAGCCAACAGCTTGCAGAGCTTTCTCAGGTACCCAAGCCTGAGGACATACCAATTCCGGAGGAGACTGAGTTTGACCCGGAAGTGCACGACTTTCATCAGTCGCGCCCAACTTCAACGACCATGACACGGCAGCTTAGCCCTTTGGAAGCTGATCCTGAAACAGAAGCCAATGAGAGAGAGGCCAAACGACTCCGAACCAATGAGCCTGGAGCCAACTTCATGTTTTCCGAGAACGAGCCAACTTTTGCTTTTATGGCGACTGAGGCTCCAAAGTTTTTGGAGGAACAAGCAGTGGCCAGCTATGTGAAGCACTGCGACTTCTACCAGCAGGTTGGAGTTTCGGTGAATGAGTTCGTTTTTGGGATGAAGCGCAATGACTTCAGCCAGAGGTACCATGCGCTTGCAGCAAACCCCAACCAGACAGATCCACCGAAGAAGAAGGGTCGCAAGGAGATCAAACTCTCCGAGCTTCCAGCTCAACAGCAACGCCTTTTCACAGAGCCTGATGGGTCTGATGACCGTGAATGGAAGGCATGGCAAAAAAAGCAAGCCTGCGATGTTTTGAGTTTGGATGAAAGCTTGAGGATCCGGCGAGAGAAGCCTGATCTGATAGTGCCGACCAGGTGGGTCCGAACCAACAAACATGATGGTTTGGTGGGCAAGGAATTCCTTGCGAAGTCGAGGTTGGTGGTGCAAGGTTTCAAAGACAAAAGCCTTGGGCAATACAGGCGAGATGCGCCAACGGCATCAGCAGTGGCAGAGGCGATTGTTTTAGCAGTTTGCGCCTACCACCGTTTTGTGCTGTTTGCCAAGGACATCAAGAATGCCTACTTCAGCGGCAAGAACATCACACGTGAGGTCTACCTGGATCCTCCACGTGGTGGTCTTCGTGGACTTCAACAAGGGAAACTTCTCCGAGCCCGGAAAGCCATCTACGGTTTTGCCGAAGCAGCACGTTTGTTTTGGTTAGCCTTGAAGGAGCAGCTGGAGGCTGATGGATGGCAGGAGTCCAAGCTGGAGCCCGCCTTGTTTTACTTAAGGCACCAGGGTCAACTGAAAGGAATCCTCGTGACACATGTGGATGACTTGGAAGGAGGTGTATCTCCGGACTTGCAGCAGTCCGCCTTTGAGAGAGCATCTCAAGCCCTGGAGTTCGCAACCAACCACTTTGGCAGCTTCATCTTCAGAGGCAGAGAGATTCGACAGACCACTGAAGGTCACATCGATGTCTCCATGCGCAACTACTCCTTGAGTTTGAAGAATGTGAAAATTGACAGAGAGAGGAGGAAGCAGCTGGAGGATGAACTCCGCCCTGAGGAGATGGAACAGCTGAACAGTTCAGCTGGCGAGCTTGGATGGTTAGCACGACAGTTGCGGTGCGACTTGGCCTATGAGAATGGAGTTGCGCAGCGAAGCAAGAAGGAGCCTATCGTTGCCGATCTCCTGAGGCTGAGGCAGTACCTCAGTGCTGCGCGCCGTGGTGCAGACTTCAAGATGCGCTACTGGAATGATGTGGACCTGAAAGATGGGGTCATCATTCACCTGGCCGACTCCGGCCATGCCAATGGAACTCCAGAGCACAACGAGCAGATGAGATACCGCAGTGTGGGGGGATACTTTATCCTTGTAGCCGACAAGGCGATCCTGCAAGGTGAGACCGTGAGGTGCAACATCCTATGCTACCACTCGGGTCAGACGAAACGAGTGTGTCGCAGCACACTTGCTGCGGAAGCAAGCCATTTAGCAGAAGCAGTTGAGGCTGGTGATTGGATCACCGTCCTGTTGGAGGAGGCCTTAACAGGCGAATTGGACCTTCGGAACTGGGCAGACCTGGTGGAGCGACGCCAAAGGGTCTATGTGACCGATGCCCGGTCAGTCTATGACTATCTCCAGAAGGATGCAACTTCGACATCAACTGACAAGCGGATGGCCATAGAGGGTGCGCTTTTGCGGGAGACCTGCAGAAAGCCTGGTGCACACGTCAAGTGGATCGACGGCCTGCAGAACATAGCAAATGTCCTGACCAAGCACAACGCTGAGAAGGACACACTTCGAGCATTTCTGAAAGATGGGATGATGAGCCTCCAGCAGACCGAGCAAAACAAACTGCTGAAGGAGAAACAGAGACAAGCCCGTCAGAAGAGAGCTCAGGTGAAAAGGGATGATACAGCTTTGAAGGAGCAGAAGAAACTGGAAAGACGCAAAGCTGTGCTGGCAGAAGTGAAGGATGAGAGCGGTGACAGCTCTACAAGCTCACAGCAAAGAAAAATACAGGGAGTGTGAAGAGATGCCTGCATTCAGCCATGACTGCCAGGTTGCTGTGAGCCGCACTTCATTTGGTGCTGCCGGCCTCCGCCGATGGGTTCAAACCTAGCCGGCCCGAGGATGTCCGGTCTGTCCTTGCGGACTGGCCCGACTGGACCTCCGGTCCGCTTGCATACGGGAAACATACAGATGTCAGCATAGACATGCTGATGGAATAGAAGCAGAGACATGAAGGAATGGCACGACAGTGAAACATGGACAAGATCAACATGATCGTCATGCATGTGTATAGAAACATATACCCTTTCTTTGTTCGTGGCATGAAAACAGCTTGCGCGCTGCCAGTGCACGCTTCGCAAAAGGTAACATTGTGTGCGAATGAACATTTCAACAAACGGAAAAACATGTACGTAGAAGTTGGTTCAGCCATCTCAACCACTTTTCTTTGTATCGTTTTTTTGCCAAACTGTCAACATAACTTAGCTTACGAAAACATTTTGACATTTCTTGGGTTTCTGTGGTTGTACTGTATCTCCCTGAGGCTGTGCAAGATCACAGTCTGTGTGTGACATGCAGAAGTGGTTCAAGTCCTATGGGGAGCCATCCGGGCTCACAAGATGGAAAGATTGGCGCTCCAGCAGTCCTTTCGTGCAAAAAGTCAAGTGCAAGTTCAAGGTCTCTTACTGACTTAGTTCAAAACTCTTTTTGGAAAGGAAAACTTGAGTAGGACTCGACTTACAAATGGTTTCCGCACGTCTTTTGCTTCAATGCCAGACTATTGAGGATTTGGTAAGCATCTTATCTCATTGTTTTTGCGGATCTGAAAGAAAGCATTTAAACCAAAAACTGTCGAGTGCTCTGCAAGGGTTTCCGATCTTGTCGACAGCATCGTCTTGGTATTGACGTACCAGACTGCAAAAGTCTTACAGCACGATTCATTTTGAAATGAGTCATTTAAAATATTTATTTGTGTCTGCAAGCGACGTCCGAAGGACGAAGACTTGACACATGCCACGACTTGTCTCGGCTTGACCAGTGTGTCAGCTCGAAGAGCTTACCAGTCTGCCCAGCGACGTGACAACAACCGAAAAAACAATGACAATGAAGTTGTGTTGATCATGTAGGCCAAGATTGATTTTAGAAATGACATCAGATATCATCTTTCAGGCAATTATATAGATGTTTGGATTTCTCGTGCTACCTGATCTGTCCTAGGCTTGGACCTCGAAGAAGAACAGCTGTTCAACATCATCGATGAAAATGGAGATGGGAAGTTAAGTCTGGCCCTAAAGTCGAGTGGTTTGTGTCTAATCCTTGCGGCTCTTTCAGGACAGCGTTCAGCTTTTTCAGCAACATTGAACATCATGACACAAGAAAACACAAGAAAACACACTCGCAGGCTTTGAAGAGTTCTTCCTTAGCCTATGGCGGCTTCGAGGGAGCAAAGCAAGACGCTGAGACCTACTTCCTAAAACAAACGTCCATGATAATAAATTTAAGTCGATTCACACAATTAAGACCCTTCCATGCACCAATTCCTGGTATGAAGGGCTTTTGCCTTGACCCACAGCAACTTGAATATCAGTATCAGTAATCATATCAACCTTTTTTTTGCATGTACACAAACAATCATAAACACATGCACTCTGTGCAAGGAGCGATTACATTCCCTCTTGGTACAGTCAGACATCGTGCATACACACAAGAGGATGAGGGACCGAGTGGCCTGCGACCCAGATTATGCAGGCGTTGCGGGAAAGCAAGGACTTGCTGTAGGTTGACTAAGAAAATCTAATAAAGCCAATGACACTTCTAACATCTTCAAACAACTGTGAAACTTCAACGCATTCACAGATCTTGATGCAGGATGTCGCCACCGCTCTGTAGTGAAAGACAGACATGCAGCATGTTTCCTACGAGCTTTGCCACCGCAGTGTGGACACTTGGAATCTTAGGCACAGATGTCAGAGGATCTTCAAGCTTGCAGCTCTCAAGAATGTGAGATGCGGGGATGCCAAATTCTTGATTGCTTCAGTTGCTTCTGGCAAAAGCTTGCCCTTTTGGTCCTGACTTTGTGCCACTCGTTTTGCCCAAACTTCATGCTACATGTGCCCAGAGAACACACGTTGCTTGGTGATTTTGGTGCCCTTGATTACCTTTCTTGGCTACATGCTTAAAATCCATCATTTGAGCACGGGCCGAAATTACAAGCATAATGTTCTGAACTTGTTTTAAAAACCGCTTGGTTTTGCATGGTTTTGGTGCAAAGTTGTCATGCTGCGGTCATAGTTGAACTTGTAGTAGGACGTGTAGGTTGGATTGGGGTGGGGTGACAGTCGCATTCAGTTCAATGCTAACGTGAAATTGATACTCTTCCATACATTCATGCTCTAGTGACTCTAGTGCTTGGTGCTAAACACCTGTACAAGGCGAAGACCATTTTTGGCTTGAATAATCTGTTCCCTTCCTATGTCAAGTACATGTTGGCTGCAGTTAGCCCGCAGAGGTAAAGTGAAGAACTCAGAAAATTGAGAACGCCTGAGTTCAAAGACCTGTACGGTGGTTCTTTCAAGAAGCAGCGCGGTGCTGAAACGGGAAGGATATTGTACCGCGGAGTATCTTGGAGAAGACTTCTACAAGTCGTAAACTTTGACCATGGATATTACTTTTTTCTTGAAGTCAAGGTAACCCCGTATCAACCTAGCGCGCTGCCAGCTGACAATCCCTAGTGTGTATTCTGAGTGTAGGAGGCAAGGTTGCAAATCGCCTTGTGCCGGCTTCGTCCTGGGGTTCCCTACTGCGGTTGACGCGCTGCCGCTGTGTTTCGTGGCCTGTTTGCGTTCCAGTGGCCGAGAATTCTGAATTCTTGACAAGCCTGCCAATCATTTGCCAATCATTCATTCACAACAGCTATCAATTCAATAAAACAATTACTTTGTGAGGCGATGAAATCAAAGTTACCTTTTCGGACATTCAACCCAATAGATTACTGCACCCATTTTTCGTAAACATATTTCTTTTTTTCTGGAATTGATGGAACACGTGTTGGTCTTAGGCTGAGCTCTGCCTTGACCGAACGCTGTCGTGAGATGAAAGGGCGGCTCGAAGCCATGGGCTCAGCCTGGAAACCTTTTCTTCTACAAACCTTTGCTCCTACATGTTTCCACATGAAAAGACATAGTTATCAAAGGAAGTTTAGGGGGAGAAACTTCCGTGTTACGGACTTTTAGAATGTCAGGGAAAGAGTTAGTCAAAGAAAGAGTTAGTGAGGAAAGAGTTAGTCAAAGAAAGAGTTAGTGAGGGAAAGAGTTAGTCAAAGAAAGAGTTAGCAAAGAAACAGTTAGTCAGGGAAAGAGTTAGTCAAAGAAAGAGTTAGTGAGGGAAAGAGTTAGTCACAGAAAGAGTTAGCAAAGAAACAGTTAGTCAGGGAAAAGTTAGTCAAAGAAAGAGTTAGTCAAAGAAAGAGTTAGTCAGGGAAAGAGTTAGTCAAAGAAAGAGTTAGTCAGGGAAAGAGTTAGTCAAAGAAAGAGTTAGTCAAAGAAACAGTTAGTCAGGGAAAGAGTTAGTCAAAGAAAGAGTTAGTCAGGAAAAGAGTTAGTCAAAGAAAGAGTCAAAGAAACAGTTAGTCAGGGAAAGAGTAGCAAAGAAACAGTTAGTCAGGGAAAGAGTTAGTCAAAGAAAGAGTTAGTCAAAGAAACAGTTAGTCAGGGAAAGAGTTAGTCAAAGAAAGAGTTAGTCAGGGAAAGAGTTAGTCAAAGAAAGAGTTAGTGAGGGAAAGAGTTAGTCAAAGAAAGAGTTCAGTTAGTCAGGGAAAGAGTTAGTCAAAGAAAGAGTTAGTGAGGGAAAGAGTTAGTCAAAGAAAGAGTTAGCAAAGAGTTAGTCAAAGAAAGAGTTAGTGAGGGAAAGAGTTAGTCACAGAAAGAGTTAGCAAAGAAACAGTTAGTCAGGGAAAGAGTTAGTCAAAGAAAGAGTTAGTGAGGGAAAGAGTTAGTCAAAGAAAGAGTTAGTCAAAGAAAAGTTAGTCAGGGAAAGAGTTAGTCAAAGAAAGAGTTAGTCAGGGAAAGAGTTAGTCAAAGAAAGAGTTAGTCAAAGAAACAGTTAGTCAGGGAAAGAGTTAGTCAAAGAAAGAGTTAGTCAAAGAAAGAGTTAGTCAAAGAAAGAGTTAGCAGTTAAGGGAAAGAGTTAGTCAAAGAAAGAGTTAGTCAAAGAAAGAGTTAGTCAGGGAAAGAGTTAGTCAAAGAAAGAGTTAGTCAGGGAAAGAGTTAGTCAAAGAAAGAAAGAGTTAGCAAAGAAACAGTTAGTCAGGGAAAGAGTTAGTCAAAGAAAGAGTTAGTCAGGATATATGAGGTAGTCAAAGAAAGAGTTAGCAAAGAAACAAGTTAGTCAAAGAAAGAGTTAGTGAGGAAAAGAGTGAGTCAAAGAAAGAGTTAGCAAAGAAATTGTTCCCTCACTGTAAATGGGACTGCAAGTGGTGCTGGTGGAGGAGTTGCCGATGGAGTTTTGGAGGAAGTCTCGCACGAAATGCGTTTTTGAGAGATAGCAAATGCACGAAAGCCTATGTTTTTTCATACAAAGTCCGTCCCCGAACGTCGATGATCTACCTCTGCTGTGCGACGGGTGCGAGACGGTCTCGTGTGTGGTCGGATCATGTTCGGATCATGGGCGGATATTCTCGGATCGGTTCCGCATTGTAAATGGGGTGTCAACAGTTTTTCGTGCATGTGTGGTCGACAGAATTCCATTGTGATTTGCAACTGTAGGATCGTTCCCGCATTGTAAATGGGGTTGCAAGTGGTGCTGGTGGATGAGTTGCCGATAGAATTCCATTGTGATTTGCAACTCTAGGATCGTTCCCTCACTGTAAATGGGATTGCAAGTAGTGCTGGTGGAGGAGTTGCCGATGGAGTTTTGGAGGAAGTCTCGCACGAAATGCGTTTTTGAGAGATAGCAGATGCACGAAACCCTATGTTTTTCCAGACAAAGTCCGTCCCCGAACGTCGATGATCTACCTCTGCGGTGCGACGGGTGCGAGACGGTCTCGTGTGTGGTCGGATCATGCTCGGATATGTTCGGATCATGGTCGGATCGGTTCCGCATTGTAAATGGGGTTTCCACTGTTTTTCGTGCATGTGTGGTCGACAGAATTCCATTGTGATTTGCAACTGTAGGATCGTTCCCGCATTGTAAATGGGGTTGCAAGTGGTGCTGGTGGATGAGTTGCCGATGGAATTCCATTGTGATTTGCAACTCTAGGATCGTTCCCTCGCTGTAAATGGGATTGCAAGTGGTGCTGGTGGAGGAGTTGCCGATGAAGTTTTGAAGGAAGTCTCGCACGAAATGCGTTTTTGAGAGATAGCAGATGCACGAAACCCTATGTTTTTCCATACAAAGTCCGTCCCCGAACCTCGATGATCTACCTCTGCGGTGCGACGGTTGCGAGACGGTCTCGTGTGTGGTCGGATCGGTCTCGGATCATTCTCGGATCGGTCTCGGATCGGTTCCGCATTGTAAATGGGGTTTCAACTGTGTTTCGTGCATGTGCGGTCGACAGAATTCCATTTGTGATTTGCAACTGTAGGATTGTTCCCGCAATGTAAATGGGATTGCAAGTGTTGCTGGTGGATGAGTTGCCGATGGAATTCCATTGTGATTTGCAACTGTAGGATCGTTCCCGCAGTGTAAATGGCTGCGTCAAGGTTGCTTCGTGCTGTGGCTGCATTCGTAATACTATTGTTTTTTGCAGCTGGACTTCGTAAATCGTATTGGAGTGGCTGCATGAAGGCTGCCACAGTGATTTGTCAGCAGATTTTCTCCATTTTGGCGCTAATGATTTTCCTTCTAAAAATCCTTTTAAACAGTGCTTCAAAATCGTCTTTTTTTCGCTCTGGCGTCGAGATCCGGTTTTGGAGCTACAATTTCCGACGCCGTTGCACGTAGTTCTATTGTGTTTTGCAACTCAGTCTCTGCAGATCGCATTGTAATGGCTGCGTCAAGGTTGCTTCGTGCTGCGGCTGCATTCGTACGTAATACTATTGTCTTTTGCAGCTGGATCTCGTAAATCGTATTGGAGTGGCTGCATGAAGGCTGCGACAGTGATTTGTCAGCAGATTTTCTTCATTTTGGCGCTAGTGATTTTCCTTCTAAAAATCTTTTTAAAAAGTGCTTCAAAATCGTTTTTTTTTCGCTCTGGCGTCGAGATCCGGTTTTGGAGCTACAATTTCCGATGCCATTGCGCGTAGTTCTCTTGTGCTTTGCAACTCAGTCTCCGCAGATCGCATTGGAATGGCTGCGTCAAGGTTGCTTCTTGCTTTGGCTGCATGCGTAATGTCTTTTGCAGCTGGATCTCGTACATCGTCTTGGACTGGCTGCATGAAGGCTGCGAAATGGATTTGTTAGCAGATTTTCTCCATTTTGGCGCTAGTGTTTTTTGTTGCACGTAGGTTTAGAGCAGTGTGAAGCGTGGGGCGTGAAGAGTGCAGCGTGAAGTGTGCAGTGTGAAGCAAGCAGTGGGAAGTGAGAAGTGTGAAGTGTGGAGTGTGAAGTTTAAGTGTGGAGTGCGAAGAGCGCAGTGTGAAGTGGAAGTGTGAAGTGTGAGGTTTGGAGTGTGAAGGAAGCAGTGAGAAGTGTGAAGTGTGGACTGTGAAGTGTGAAGTGTGAGTGAAGTGTGGAGTGTGAAGTGCGAAGTGAGAAGTGTGAAGTTTGGAGTGTGAAGTTTGGAGTGTGAAGGAAGCAGTGAGAAGTGAGAAGTGTGAAATGTGGAGTGTGAAGTGTGAAGTGTGAAGTGCGAAGTGAGAAGTGAGAAGTGTGGACTGTGAAGTGTGAAGTGTGAAGTGTGGACTGTGAAGTGTGGAGTGAGAAGTGTGGACTGTGAAGTGTGAAGTGTGAAGTGTGCAGTGTGAAGTGTGAAGTGTGAGGTTTGGAGTGTGAAGGAAGCAGTGAGAAGTGTGAAGTGTGGACTGTGAAGTGTGAAGTGTGAGTGAAGTGCGGAGTGCGAAGTGCGAAGTGAGAAGTGTGAAGTGTGAGTTTTGGAGTGTGAAGTTTGGAGTGGGAAGGAAGCAGTGAGAAGTGAGAAGTGTGAAGTGTGGACTGTGAAGTGTGGAGTGTGAAGTGCGAAGTGAGAAGTGTGAAGTTTGGAGTGTGAAGGAAGCAGTGAGAAGTGAGAAGTGTGAAGTGGGAA